TGAAGGTTTCTCCCCCCCTGCTGAAATGAAGAGCAAGTGCAGCCCTCATTAAACATTCAGGGGCACATTGACATATTTCTTGTAAAACCAGTAACCACTCGTGTTTCATACTTAGAGTGATTAATTTTACAAGATACACAACAAAATGCTCTCATTCTTAATAAGGTGCATGCAGAGAGTGCACTCACGGTGCTTACTAATGGGCACTCAGTAATGTGCATTCACTCAGCCTGTGCACTCAAAAACTTAATAATTCATAATAAGCCTTCACAATAAATATAAAATATGCTTGCCCAGAATAGTTATTAGTAATGCTGCTCGGTACACCAATAGACTTTTGATACATTGTCTTAACATTTGCTTGTGTAAGTCAATTAACCTTTATATCACATCAATCTTTAAAAGCAAAACAAAACCAAACCCTTTGCTAGAAATTTTGCAATATAGTTGATAGGCTGGTGGCAGGTTTCAAATAAATTGCCGCAATATCACTTTCAAACATGTATAGTTTTTGAACATTTCATTTTAAGATATATATGAGCTTTTTTGTTAGTTTTCTAATTGCGAGCCAGACTTTCTACAGACCCATTGTAAGCCTCAACAATGTTTTTACACTCCTTCCTTACCTCTTTTCCTCAGAATTCTCTGAGACTCAGATTTGGCTTGTGAGATTTAACTTTTGCATTTGAACAGTGCGTGCACATCCAGTTACAAAATGTCCACCTATATGAATTCAATATAATAAAGTCAATCTAAAAAGTTCATCCATATTGTTTTTATTAGTGAAGTCACATGCTAATTTAAATGCCTTTTGTCACAAAAGGGAAATAATGTCAGTCCTTGGTAAGCCTTAGTCCTGTTTCTAAAGAGCTAACGTATTTACCCCTACAGTTGCTTATTATTGATGGACAGCAGCTAAGAAGTGACCCAGCTACTGTGATGGATGAAGTGCAGAAGTTTCTTGGAGTCTCTCCTCATTATAATTACTCCGAAGCTCTAACGTGAGTCCGTTCCTTTGTTATCTGCCCTATGGCGTCACAGTGTACAGCCCTGCCTACCAAGATCACTTAATCATTAATGACAAACAAAAAACACATTACAACAATGACAATTTTCCAAACTTGGCATTTTCTTAAACACAGTTTAATACCCATCCAGTTTCCCCTTCACTTGCAAACACATAGTACTTTGCAGAACTTAACTGCAGGATCATACATGCAAACTCTATTTTGCACAACACACAGAACCAATGACTGCCCAGTATTTTGTATTAGACAAAAACAAACCCCCAGATTCATGTAAGAATTGTCTGCTGAGTTTGAGTGTTCAATTGGAGCTGCCCAGAACTTGTTTCCTCAGCATACCCAGTTTTGCTTTCTCCACTGCACTGTTTGAAATGTACGTTGGAGTGATGTGAGTTGTGCGTGTAAGAGCTCGGCACACGTTTGCACATCAGACTCTTGAACCTTATGACAGGCTCTGGAACCTGAAGACCACTTAGTGTCAGGTCTGAAAAGTTTGGCTTAAAACGTTTTTATCCCATTCCTATAGGAGTTTAATGACAGAGGCTGGGTTAGAAGCACTCAGTATGGTAAGATTCATCTGGTTGTATGGTTTCTTTGATTGTTCGCTTTTAATGTGGACCAAACATATCAATCCCCAAGACGGTTTTCATAGATGGTTGAGCCAGTTCTGCCAACCTTTTGCCTTGTAGCAACCAGACATATTGCACAGGAGAATTTAGTCTGTACACTTAAAGTCTGGTAAAATTATAAGCTACTAATAGTATATCCCTAAGCTGGAAGTGCCAGGCTCAAGCACAGCACCTGGAGCCAGGGGAGAAACATCATCACTCCCTGAACTTAGGAAAATGCCCTTTGACTTCCCACAGCCTTTGGACTAGATCTAGCCAAGGCAGCTGTAATGAGCCCAGGCCACATTTCTCCTCCTCACTACCAGGAGGTTGAGGCTTTCCCCATGTCTTAACAGCCCAAGTGAGAGCAGACTGGATTTCTCTCTCCCCTCTTAGTCCAGCAGAAAATCATAAGATGCTTTTGCACTGAGCCTCTCTGTATAGGGAGCATCACTTCCCACCTACCCCCCACTGCCTCTGCTCTTCTCATGATTATTATTTAATGCTTCCTCCCCTGGGAAGGTTATGGTTATTTTTATAACAGGTATAAAGTGAGAGTCAAGTGCTTATTGTTGTTCGGGTCTTAAGAACGTTGCTCTGCCAAAATCTTTTTTCAAGAGGAAAAATTTTGGATTTCAGAATGTAATTTTTTAAGTCATTGGTTTCCGAAGCAGATGAATTAGAGGAGGAGTTTGAATACACAGCTGAACTACTGATGTTTGAACAACTGCTGCTGCACATCTGCAGTGCCTTCTGCTAGGCTTTTAAAAACACACACCCACATGCATATATCTTCCATTGTGTCACTAAATTAAAGCCAGTGGAACCACACACCAGGAAAAAATTTGGCCTCTCATATTTGTTTGGACAGGAAAAATGGATTGTAAACAGATCTATAAAATTATGCAATCACTGTTTAGAGGCATCAAGAATGCAAATGTTCTGTGGAAGCACACACTTCTGTGCGGATTTAGGATGGAAGAGAAAAATGTATTAAAGAATGTAGTTGCTTTATGGCAGGGCTGTCAAAGTAAAAAACATTGCATAGGACTGTTCCTAGTCATTACTGCCTAATAACTGTACACCAGGCATTTTTAAAGTTGTCACAAAGCAGCCTAAGGACCCAGTCCTGCAAACACTAGTGAGCAACAAGTTCATCACCCTAAGTAATTACGGGAACATCTTACAGAAGAGTAAAATCCACCCAGGCAGAAGGAAGGTACTAAGCAGAGCTGTGGAAAGAGAGCAGAGGGGTGGCAGAGGCAGGGCTTGGGCATCTGGAGAGAAGAGCACATCACATCGGGTTAGTCACCACAGCTGGGATTGGTGGCTAGGTCATCACTTCTTACATATGCTGCTAAGGAGGACCTAGAGTCAGATACAAGGAAGAAATATTTTATGGTGAGCATGGTGAGTCTCTGGCACAGTTTGCCCAGAGGTGGTAGATGTCCCATCCATAGAAACTTTCAAGATCAGGTTGGACGGGGCTTTGAGCAACATGATCTAGTTTAAGATCTCACTGCAGCAGGGTTGGACTAGATGACCTTAAAATGTCCCTTCCAATACAAAATATTCTATGACTCTATGACTTGCACTTTGTCTTAGAGTTGTGAAAATAAAAGGGGGAAAATCAGCTAATGTTGCAAGGCTTGTACGCATAATGCCATCAATAGAAAGAAGACATTAGGATCTTCACATCCCAATCCCAAGTGCTAGGAGAGGGAAACTAGTCAGTGGCCTCACAAAGTTCCCACTACAGCACTGAAGAGTTGTGTCTCACCTCTCCCACAGCCACTCGTTTTCACAGGGAAGGACCGAGAGCTTAAACTTTTTTAAGTATCTGCACTTAATGAACAGGAACCTAGGACACATGGGACTAAAGTTACAAAAGACTTTTCCTTTTAATCACAGGATGGCCCTACTGGAGCTCCACTGACTGCTAGGAAGATCTATGTCAAGTCTGACATCCTCAGATGACTCATGGCCCGGGGTAACATGGGCCAGTGGTTCCCTTCTTCCTTTGTTGTTCTCAGCAGCCAGAAAAGGAGGGAGGCAGGACAGGACAGGGCTCAGCTTTGGCAAAGGGCAGCCAAAACACCACATCCTCCAGCTCAGCTCATCACACCGTGCACTGCCCACAGAGACAGCTCCACATCCAGCCTCCCAGGGGAGATTTCCCTCATTTCCCGTTGTGGGAACAACAGAAGGAAAAGACAGGATTAGGGGACCATGCTTAAGTACATCCAGCTTGAGCTATCTTACCCTCTTTTCCCCTACCCAGATTTGCACATTCTTTTAATAATGTTCAATATGCTTCTTCTGAGGCAGAAATATTATTTGGGGTATAGTCTTGCAGTTTTCCTTTTAACCAACACATTATATTGCTGCTTCTCTTGGGAAATTAGTGCAAGCCAGCTCAAGTACTTCACCATGCAATGAGCAGATGGAAAAGGTCAAAGCAGAAATTAATCTATCATTGATAAATTCATTTAATCAATGATTTATTTGTTTTTAATTGATATGGCCACCAAGACAGTTTAGAAAACCGAGGTCAGGCCTGCAATAGGCTAGGCAAGAAAAAAGAAACGTGCAGAAGGTTCACCCTTCTCCAGAAATTAGTTCACATTCACTAGAAATTAGTATGGGAGCAAGTTGCAGGTGCACCTATGTTGTAGGGACAGACCCAGGGCAAAAAGGTAGTCTGTAACTAATTAACTCTGTGTTCCAGCCAATTATACTTCCTCGTTTCCAAACATCTGCTGAATAGCAGAAATGTGAAGCTTTTCAATGTTTTATGCATGCTGCGAGTCCCATAGCAATAAATTCCAAACTTAACGCTGCGTGTTGTTCGTTCCTCAGCGAGTACGTGTTTTAAAGCCTTAATCTAAAATTTCTATCTCTTTGAATTTTAGACATCAAAATCAAATTGCATGTTTCAGATAAGACTGCTAAGACAGTGTTTATGCTATAATGCCATCTCTGGAATGAAAATTATATTTAGATCTAATGATATGGAACAACCAACTTCTCAGGTGCAGTTAAATTATCAGCTACCAGCCACAGGTTCTTTCAGCAGACCCGAACGCTGCTTATTTCACTCCAAAATCATCATAAAACACTTCAGTATTATATTTCTCACCATTTTATAGTCATGCAACAATCACACACTTTTGTTTAGGAATAGACTTTGGGATTGAGTCTATGCCTGTCAAAGTCAGCAACTAGATCTGCTTGCCCTTTTTAACCCCTCTCACCCTGACAGTGGTGAACTACAACAGCATCAGCTCCAACTGGCCAGTATGGAAAGCTCTCCTTGTACATATCTGATGATGTCCTTAAAATATATAGCACATCTTATTCCAGGAAAAGAGCTGATTTGGAACTTTTTCAACGAAACATTCTTTGTTCAAGTGTCAACTGATCAAAACTTTAGGGATACACAGAGCAGTTTGGTACAAACAAAATCTCTGACCAAAACCAGACAATAAAATATGAGTCACAGTCCAGAGTGGGGCTGTGTGGGATCCTCGAGAGTGAGGCTCATGACCTTGACTGGCATAGCATGGTTTGGGTTGGAAAGGGACCTTTAAAGCTCATCTAGTCCAACCCCACTGCAGTAAGCAGGGACATCTTCAATGAGATCAGGTTGCTCAGAGCCCCATCCAACATTTGCACCCTATATGCTGGACAAGTAGAATAAAAATAAGCTAGTGCAGGTAAAGTACAATGTGAAAAGCTTCTTGCCTTGAGCAAGAAGGCAGATTTGTAGAAAAAATAAATTCCCAGAGCTTTCACAAGAAAGGAAAGCCGATTCCCACTGTCCCCACTATTTCAGTTGTCTAAAGAGACATGTGCAGCAATAATTGCTGGCTAACGCTGATGTCTTAGTCACTGGGAGATTCTTCTGTAGTGACGTCTTTCAAAAAATATAATCCTCTGTAGGTTTGATCCTCAGAAGGGCTTTTGGTGCCAGTTATTAGAAGGAGGGAAAACCAAGTGCCTGGGAAAAAGCAAAGGTCGAAAATATCCACCAATGGACCAAGAGGTAAGGGCTTTCCAGACAAATATTTAAGTTAACATTTTCTAATATCAACCCTATATTTGACTTCTAAAATAAACATTCAGATTTCTTTTATATTTTTACTGAATTTATACTTTTAAAAAGCAGAAACTTTTAATCAGCTTCGAATGACAGGAGATTAATTGCCCCCTCCTAAGTGCCCCTCTCTGGGAGCAGTGCACAGCTCCCAGGCAGGAGTGCCTGCCAAAACCTGCCGTCGGGCGAGTTTCCTTCTTTCACTGTTGCTGGTGTTTTTTTCTCACCCTTCTCAGTCTCGAGCATTTCTGTCAAGCTACTACAGAGACCACAACGTGGAGCTGTCCAAGCTGCTGCACAGGCTAGGGCAGCCCCTGCCCTCCTGGCTGAGACAGGAGCTGCAGAAGGTCAGGTAGCACGTAAGGACGGGGGACCCAAACAAGGAGGATTTCCTTCACCATCAAACCCCTTGCTTCTCCAACTCACTTGTGATCATCAGTAGAGGACCTCATGAATAATGCTCTTTCTATTAAAAAAAAAAAAAGAAAGAAAACAACAACAAAAACAAAACAAACAAACAAAAAAAAAAAAACACAAAAGAATTAAAAAAAAAAAAAGAAAACACACAAATCCAACAACTGTTTATATGCACGTGCTGACAGTGATTAGCACCGACCCCTTTTGTCAGCTTCCAGGAAATAATACAGAGCTACGTGGCATTACTCTTTATCCAGCCCGGGATTTGTGCATAGCCTAGCTCCTCTGTTCACCAGGAAGCACCAGAAACTGCGTAGGATGGATTGACTTCAGCATACATGACAAATTGCAGTCTGTCAGGACACGAGCAAAGGATGGGAACATCTCTCGCTGGACTGTGAGGTTGGTCATCTGCTGGAGTTCTTTCCATGTTTGTTTTTGCTGTTTTTTCCCCCAATCCTGCAAGTTTTCCATTCATTTTATAGGGCGATATTCAGCACTTGGCAATGGTTATCCCTAGTGATTACGTTGTGTGTGGTATTAACACACCATCATTGCTTTCTCCATAGAAAGAACGGGCGAAATTCTCACCTAACTTGCTTCCCTGGGATTCCTGTAATAACTGATGACAGTCTGTGCCCTTTCTTCTTTTGGGTTTTTAGTGTTTTTTTTTTCCCTTCACAACAAGATATATCCTAGTTTACTGGAGTCATGTGGGTTGTTGAGGTGCAAGGCCAGCAAGGTAACCTTCCTCCCAGATCTCAGTGAAATCTATTCCCTGTCTTTCGGATTGTGGCTACTTTGCCATCCTGCTCAGGTTTTTCATTGCCTCTGTTGGGTTCCTACAGCAGCTGTGACACAGCTCTGAGCTGTGAAATCATATCAAGTATCTTGTCATAATGCCACAGGAGTCCTTAAGGCACTATCAAAACCTTTTAAAATAGAAGCAGGCCATGCAAGCAGTGTACTGACAATAACCTAGTATTGACAATTCTATCTGGAAGGCAATGTTTTTGCTGTGAAAACTTCAAAGTAAGAGATTGGGTTGGTCATTTAGGGTCTCAGGCTGTAAGCTATTACATGAAAAAAAACCCCATACTTAATGACCAAATGTATTTGTTAAGGTTTCAAAAACCGCCTACAGTCCGTTGAAGATTAAACACTTCCTGTAGACTTCAATGGAGTTGAAAGGCCAAGCATATCCACTCTATTCCACATATACATATAAGATGCATATAGTTTTATGCCTGCAGAACTGCGTGCTCTATATCTAGATCAGATATACACTTACTTTTAAATATCTGGTTTTTGTGCCCATAGGTAAATGAAAGGGTGGTCTAGCAAAAATATGATATTATGGACTGTGCTTTCTTCTCAGATGTGTGTGGGCAAGGTTGACAAGAGCAGGCAGAAACTCACTGGGAAATTTAAGCTTGAGGAAACAAATACCATTTAGACATTTCAGCCATGTAACACTTTCTTAAGGCAAAAGCTGAGAAAGCTTTGCTACATGTTCTTTCAGCAGCACAAAATGGAGTACGTTTTAGTTTTCAAACTTCGCCATCTTAGTTCCTAGGCACAAGCCATTTCAGGTGCTACAGAGGCTTTGTGCTTTCCCATCCCCATAAATTTGTTCCTTACCTCCTAGCTCAGGAGATAGAACTGGACATTGGGTTTGTGCCATGAATCTCAGTTCTGCTGAGATCTATACTCAGGGAGCACCAATCAGAGCACATCATGGACTGTAGCAGTCAAGAGCACCTCAGCAAATCCATTTAAGCTTCAAACCAGTTGACATATGTAGATACCTATCTCAACATTTCCAAATTCCTAAATCATGACACTGTCCACCAAGATCATGCCACTAGCTTATTTTGGATTGACAAGACCAGTGCTTCCCAGGGTTATCCTGGTGCTGCTTATCTTGCCTCCAGCTCAGCAGTGGTGCAAGAGTGATGGCACTAGATGGTGAGTGTCCTCTACCACTACCTGCCTCCCACTATTTCTTCCCACCTGGTCTCCATCACTACCCTTCTGAACTTGCCTGGCTGCTTCTTCCCTCTGCACAGTTCCCAGCTCTTTTCTCAGGCCCAGCACTGCCCTGGTGCAAGTCCTTCATCCATGTGAGGAGCCAGCACTGTCCTCCTTGGTCTCACACACACAGCCCCCGGGGTTGCACAGAGGAGAGGCTGAGGTGAAGCCAGCACCAAGTCCTTGCATGGCCCCTTGTGCTCCTGCTCTCCACCTCAGCCCTCGTTCCATCTGCAGAGGTGGGAGTAGGACAAGGCCAGCAGCTTGCTGGCCGCCACAGGAGCACGACATGCCCAGCCCCACCGGTGCTGCCATAGCCTACTCACACAAGGACATTCACAAGCACACAGGGAAGCCCAAAAGGCAAGTGTTGTCCAGTCTCATGTTTGCTTTTAAATATTGAAATGGGATTCATCTTGCCTAAGTGAGATATCTACTTCAGTTTATACATAATGAAGGCAAACAGTGCTTCTAGGACACCGTTCATCTCATCACAAAGCAGACTCCTTAAATGAGCAAGATTAATCTTGCCTCTTCCTCTCTATTGATCGTAAAAGGACAATAGACAACTTGTTCAGAGGAAGAGCTCAGCTCTATAGGTCTGAAATTAGGTGAGCTGAAAAGGAGGTAGTATTTCATCTCACAGCTATAGTTATTGAAGATGAGAAGGAGCTAGAAGCCTTTGAGGGAAGGTTTTGAGTTTGTTTTCCTAAAGTAAGTTTTCTACCTCTTCTATTTTGACCAGAAGGACTCTTCAAAGTGAGCTAGGGCAAACTAAATGCAAATAGTATTCTTGTATTCTTGGCTTTTTTTTTTTTTTTTTTTTTATCTGACAAGAGTCTTGGATAAGTAAGGCTTGGTCAGAGAAGAACATCTAAATCAATCATTTCATAAAATTTTAGCTGTTAAAATGCATTACGTTTGGCTCATCATTAACTAAACGCCTACTTCTTGATTAAAAGCTAAATAAACATGAAAATGGTTTCAGGAGGTTTTCAAGGAAATGAGACAAATACCATAAAATCTGGAAAATTATTTATTGTCCTTAGCTTTTCATTTAGGAAAAAAAAAAGAATGAAGTCTTTCCAACCCTCAGCTATATAACAGCATCATGTCCTTAAAACACACTGGGTATTTTTATACTTCATTGTTAGGTTTTGAGTTTGAAGGGGCATCCTATGTCCAACAGATCTCACGTTCCATTGAAAACTGACATTTGAATTGACTTCATTATGTGTCATATAAAGATGAAATAACAGTATTTCAAAGTTTCATTCCTTTCACTTGTAATAGGACCCATCAACACAGAATTTCTCTCGACCACCGTATTATAGAGAAGCCTTTGTGAACTGGCTGTAAATGATCTCGATTTCTTTTATGCCTTTCATATGGCTGACCATGTAATTGTTGGGATTCTTAAAGGCCAGCAAAACGAATGCCATAAAACGGAAACATTTATTCATATCAGGGGGTCTATAGCTGGGAAAGATAATGCTGGCCCTTCTTTCCTGCTCATAAGCTACAGGATTCATCTCCACAATACCTCCATGTGGTGCAGGCTGTAAATCAACAGGAGTTTTACACACTGGAGGGCTGCAGCTGCAGTTTGCTCCCTTTCCCCCCCAGAAATATGGATTGCTGCAGAGGTTTGAAGGAGCCTGGCTGCACTGAGGACCTGACCTACTGCCCCTAGAGACCAGTAGGAGTCTTACTATTAATTCCAGCAGACCTCAGTTGCTCCCCAAGAGCTGGTTTCACAAGGCACAATCTGGGTGGTTCAATCACGTAGTCCTGTCACTGCTGGAAATCCATCACTAGTTTGGTTTTGGTCACCAAGTGGGGGATCTCTTTCCCTCACCTCTCTCAGCCAGTGCTCTGCCACAATTGGAGCTGCAAGCCAACCCTCACCTCCAGCACCTAGCAGGGCTGTCCCACTTCTGGTCTCACCATACCATGCAGGTCCCTCTCCCCTCCATCCTCCCAATTCCCTGGCTACAAGAAATGGAAAACCTCATGGGCCAGGCACAAGCATCAGGGTCTGTGGCAGCACATTTGATGATTAAAGCAGGACTTTCACCCTCAGAAAACTGAGCTTGTATAAATTGAGGTTGTCTTTGAGGGAGAAGCAATCAGAATAGACTCCAAAATCATCTAAATTTTGCATTGACCTCTCAAGGTCTAAAATAAAGTTGCCAGATTAACTGCTCATAGATGTTTTCTAATAAAACAGATTTTCTCTCTGATAGGGAATCAGACTGCTGAGTGTCCCCAAAACAAATTAAGATGGCAGAATTATAAATTCTTAGGGGAGGAAGATGTTGCGTAATGAAAGCGCTGATGGGTCTAGACTCTCTGATGTGATAATAAAGCAGCAGGCACATGCCCTGAATACAAAAGCAGAAGCTGAATATTTTCTTCTCTTCCTTCCCCTTCCTCGTTTTCCCTCCCATTCATGTTAAACTTTCAGGCAGTGTTATGCACCTAAAAAGCACATGCTGAGGAACATTATTCATCTCCAGAAGAACCAGATGAGAATAAATTTGGTGCAGGGTGTTCATTCCCCCTAAACTGGGCCACCTTAAAGTTAGACATCAGGTCCAAACTAGTCATTTAGTTTCCATAAGTAGCACATTATGTTTATAATGGGTTTAAAATTGATGCTTGTAATAGGTGTGTGAGCGTGTGACAGCTGTGTAAAAACAGGTACGACTCGGGTATATAAACCAGCAGAGACAAAGTGTCTGATTTTACTGCAGGCAAGTGAGACTGAGGTCTCTGTTGGTGTCAGAAGGAGCTCTCTTTGCACATGCAATTTAGCTTTGCCGTTTTAGCTCACAGCTTGCAGTGCCATCTCTCCTACCAGTAGATACTTTCCTTCTCCAAGAGCTGAAATCTCCTATAATCACCTCACTGTATTTATCCTCATCAATATCAGATCATGAAACTTAGCTTTAACGGTTACTTAAATCCATCGTTATATTAGTTCATATGTCTCTGCCAGGAAGTTTTGCTTCTGAGAC